TATACACATGTATTTATATATATATATAGAAACCACAATAAGGAACCCTGAAACGGTCGGTTTTTTCGGCTTCAGGTAGAGTTTTGGGTCTAGGGATTTTCTGGCGCTGCTTTGGGCTTAGGGATTCTCTCGCGCTTCCAGGGTCCAGGGTTCTTCAATGATAGGGGGTTTAGGGGTTGGGTGGTTGGATTTAGGGATTTAGGAGTTTAGGGATGTAGGGGTTTAGGGCTTACGGTTTGGGGTTTCAGCTGTTTTGTTTTGCTTTTTACGGGGCTGCTAGCTTTTCTTTACTGTAGAGGCTGTGCCGTTGGAATGCGTTTCGGGTGGTCTTGAAAGATTTTCGAAACGTGTTGACTTAGCGGCCACTGGAAGAGGGTCTTATTCCCAATGATTGGGGAATGTACTTGGGGGATTCTAGGGGGCCTCCACTAAGGAGTTCCCACAGATCTAGGATCTCTATGAGGTCTTGCTGCTTATTACATGGAGAGATGGCTCTTTAGGACTTCTCGGCGTCTGTTTTAGGTGTGTGGGTTTGAAAAGTTCGGAGTCTTGGATGTAGCTTGAGGCCTCTTCTCATTAGGGCTTTGGTTTCTGTTTGCAAAAAGACGCTTGTTGACGAGAAGGACTTGATGCACAGCATGCGCAAGCCCAAAAGCAAACAGTGTCGTCGGACTAATTACCACGTATTATTTATTATTGACTAATGACTCTAAAACAGGCCACCTCAAGCTTGCCGTTTTCTGCTGTCCGGTGGTGCCACTGGAACACGCAGCCGACTGTTTATATTGATACTGTATTGCGGCAATCTGCATCTGCGCCTTCTTTGGCAAACTATCGACTTCATCTGCCAGCAAACTTCAAAACGTTCTAAATCAGCCACATGGCCTTCTCCACCCATTTCATGTCAAACACCTGGTGTTCCATTTAACTATGTAAGATCCACAGCGTGCGGTTTCTTCCGGTGCTTAGGCAATTTGTGATGCCGCAGACGCGGGCTTAAGGCTATGGGGAATCATGCGATTGAGTGTCTGGGATTCACAGTGGTTTGTAGGATGGCTAAGACAGCTAGTCTTACGGATTGTCGGATTGCAAAAGCCCTATAATAAAAGGCCTGAACAGGTAAACCGATGTTTGTATTCAGGCCCCCGTGCTAGCTGAAACATATGCGGTTGCACCCGGATTGCAGAAAGAATCTGTTTGAGAAAGCCGGCCCAACGCATGACTGAGCTCTCATCACAGCACAACAACCAAACCTCGCGTTCATGTCTGCTCTGCTCGAACCTATCGTCATAATTCGAAGTGTTCCGATTGAAACTTCTGATCCTACTGCTTCTGCTACAACTTTCCAAAGAATGAAGCCGGAGAGACTCTATCACTCTACCGGGGTAGGTTCCAATGCTCCGAATACTTTTATGCTGCACTCTTGGCCCCAAGAGCAAACCAAACATCGGCTTTGTGCTGGGCACATGCAGCATTTGGTGCGCCGTCGGATCACTTTCCTCGCGCATGGACGTCTCATCCAGGGTCGTCAGGGTGGACGTGTGCTTCAAAGAGTTTAGGCTTTAACCCTTAACATCAACATGGAACGCCCCGTGCCAGTTCTGGTTGACGCTCATCTGTTGAATCATCCATGCATCCATCCATCCATCCACCCACCCATCCACCCATCCACCCGTGCACACATCCACCCATCCACTCATCAACCCATCCACCCATCCACCTGCAGGCATGCAGACGTACATACATACATACATACATACATACATACATACATACATACATACATACATACATACATACAAATATGTTTATACATATAGGCAAACATATTTTCAAGATTTGTTCCTGTGGGCGTGTTTTGTCTGTGGTGTGTGGCTGCGGGTCCTGTTAGGGTCCAGAGTTGGGCTGTATAGGAACGCGAAAAAATTGAAGTTTTCAAGGGCCTAAAGCCCAGCAGGAAGCCTGAAATCCCTAACTTAATCTACCAGTAAAGCCCCAGCGCGTATTCTAGGGGCCCTACTTTTTATACTCAAAACAGATTTATAGCACAGTTCTGGGCTAAAGAGGATACAGATATTCCGACCCATAAATGAGACTTCAAGCATGGGTCCTGTGGAAGGCGCGCTGCTGTTGCAGCAAAGATCAAGCTGCCCCATTTCGTCGACAGCTCCACCTTTCTCAGCGGAGTGCGAAGCTTCAATGGCCGGTGAACCCCAAACCCTAAGCCTAACATAGGGGCCTTACTGATTAGAATAGGGTTTGGGGGCAAACTATACCATAAGTATAATGAGGAACCCCCGAAGCCCTATTCTAATTATTTAGGCCCGACATTTAAGCCGGAGATTGGGTTCTAGCGAGGGGTTCACGAGTTTAGGAAGCAAATTTAGGGTTAGGGTTTAGGGTTTAGGGCTTAGGGTTTAGGGTTTAGGGTTTAGGGGGGTCTTCTCGTTGATGCATGACATCGTCAACCTCTTAGATAGCAAGTGAGACCCACAGAGCATTGCCACGCTGGATGACATGGTATAGGGGTTGTAGTATTTCGAAGAGGGTTTTGGGGTCTATATAGTACAATGATCATAAGGAGCCCTAAGAAATCATCTTGGGTGCTTATTCACTCCTGTTCCTGAATTGAAACCCTAAACCCCAAGCCCTAAACCGCAAACCCTAAACCCCAAATGCTAAACCCCAAACCCTAAACCCAAACCCCAAACCCCAAACCCCAAACCCTAAACCCCTAAACCCCAAACCCCAAGCCCTAAACCCTAAACCCCTGAACCCTAAACCCCTGTCCCACCTCAGGGAAATGGAGAACCACGAGGTAGAGGCAGTTCAAGGCAGCACGGCGTCCACCCTGGGAAGGGTTTTGGGGTAGATTATACCATACCTATAAAAAGGCCCCCCCCCCCAAAAAAAAAGTATAGGAAATTGGAAAGGCCTCTATAGTAGGATTGGGACTGTTTAGGTTTAGGGTTATAGCGTATAGGACAGTTTAGGTTTAGGGCGTTTGTTTTCGACACTATTATTCCAGACTTGTGGTTGAGGGCTCAGGGCTTAGGATTTAGATATAGGTTTAGTCTAGTAATTAGGGTTCAGTGTTTAGGTTTTTTTTTTATATAGGATTTAGTCTAGTAGTTAGGTTGGGGTTTATATAATCGGGTTTGGTATTTAGGTTCAAAGGTTTGGGATTCAGGGTTTCAGCACTAAGGCCTAGGGCGCAGGCGTTGAGCCCAAGTCGGGAATGCGGGATCCTCGGGGTGCAAGTGCGAGTTCTTCAGGGTGTAGGGTTTAGGGTTTGTTTTAAAGATGAGCTCAGGGTTCTGTTTTACCGGCCTGAGTATAGAACCCTAAAGCCTAAACCTCATACCCCAAACCCTAAACCCTAAACCCAGAAGTTTAGGGTTCAGGGTTTAGGGCTTAGGATTTAGGGGTCAAAATTGAAGTTCGCCCCTTTCTCTTTCCGAGGCAGGCCTGCGACGCCCCTCAACTCAAAAACCGTCCGCGGTTCAGGCCCTCCATTGGGGTTTAGGGTTTAGGGTTTGGCCCTCCAGCGCTTCGAGTTCCGGCCTTTGGATCTGCCATAAGAGGGACCCGGAAGTGGACAGAGGTTTAGGGGTTTACGGTTTAGGGTTGAGGGCCAGAGCTTGGAACCTGTAATTATCGAAAACTGGACAACCCTATCTCTGAAGAGCCCGAAAGCCCTAGCCCTAACCCCATAACGCCCTAAGCACCGAAAGCCCCGAACCCTCAAACCCTTGACCTCAAAGCCGTAGACCCCCTGAAGCCCTGAACTCTAAAACCCTAAACCCTAAACCCCCAAAGCCTAAGCCCTTAAACCCTAAACCCTGAAGCCCTAAACCCTCAAACCCCTTTCGAGGTGTAGGGTGGGGAGCCTCCTCAGCATAGCCCAAGTTTTTCAGGAGGTGCGTGATGCGGAGCTGCATTGCCTTAAGTCTGCCGTCAAGCTGAGTCACTCCTTTAGGGTTTAGTAGTTTCGGTTTCAAGGTTTATTGTTTCAGTTTCAAGGTTCATTGTTTCAGTTTGAAGGTTTATGGTTCTAGAATTCAGAGTTTAGGCTTTAGGGCTTTATGGCTTATGGTTTGGGGCTTCGTTCTTGCCTAACGGACAGGCTTAGGTTGCGGGGTTTGGGGTCTAGGGCTTGCGGTTTCTGCTAAACACCTGACTCGAGAAATCCAGGTATAATGCTTGTCAAGGGATGGGGGCGGGGGGCTAGTAATAAATGACAACCCTAAACCCTAAACAGCAATGATCACTTCATTCAGGAGCGACGTCCCAGTAGTTTTGTGGCCTACAGAGACGGCTTAGGGTTTAGGGCTTGTGGGTTTTAGGGTTTAGAGTTTAGTCCCAGTTTAGGGGGTCAGAGCAATATTGAAGGATAGCAGGCACCAAAGAGCTGCTTTGATGGATGAAGCCCTGTAAACAGATTTCATGAAGACTCAGGGTTTAGGGTCAAGGGTTTAGGGTTTAGGGTTTCAGGCACATGATGGGAAAATGCACCCTGGAACATTCACCCTAAACCCTAAACCCTAAACTCACCCAAAAGCCCTTAGAAGGCACATGAACTCTGGTAGGGTTGCCAAAGCCGAGAAGTGCAAAAGGTGTCCTACTCTGCAACTGTCCAAAACCGCTTTGGAATGCAGGAGGACGCGAAGAATCAACCCCCGTCGAAGGCTCAGCAATCTCCAGCCCTAGGGTATATCAGGTTACAACTAAGGGTTTAGGGTTTAGGGTTTAGGGTTTAGGGTTTAGGGTTTAGGGATCCTAGGGTATATCAGGTTACAACTAAAGTCCGCGGCTGCTAGAACTCTTCCCATGTCGATGGGTGGTGCTACGCATGCCGTAAGCAGCAAGTGGGTGGTGCTACGCATGCCGTAAGCAGCAAGCCCTGGAAGTCAACATCTGTAGCACCCTCAAAAACCCTGCACACTATATCCAAATAGGACCAACCAACACGGACAACACACCTGCAGAAACCTACCTAGTACGCAAACAACCCAGGGGCTAGAGCAAAGTAGCCTCAACAGCCTAAAAAGCGACACACCTCGAACCTCTGATTCGTGCTGCCTTGTGCTCGTGCGGATAGTCCAGCATAAAGTCCACGAAGATCTGGGCACATTGCTGCCTGGCGAAGCTCGTGATTCCACATACTGTAAAACCTGAATAATTAGAAGGATTTGGGCTCCTCAATACTATAACTATAACTATAATAAGGAACCCGAAGGAATAATA